AACTGTAGCTGTTTTTCAGTGCTTTTTGAAGATTCCTTCCTTATTCTGCACAAACTCTCACAATTACATTAACAAAAAGAAGTGATAGCATCCAGTCCTTCTCAACCAGGTAACTCCTTTATTATTCATGCAAAATACTCACCCCCTCCTTTTTTTACTATTGTTTCATTGCCCAATGGGCAAGGGCAAGAGAGGACCAGGAATGAAGTGATTTTGATCTCCTGTTTTGCAGTTAACAGTAAAATACATTAAAGCAATAAAAATAATGGGAGGCCCATATTTCCTGGGGCTGTCTTGCCTAGACCCATTTGTCTCTTGGTCAGCTCCATTAGTTTGGCTCCAGAGCTCAGCACTGTCAGCCATTTCAGACAGTCCAGATCAACATAAGAGACATCTGAGCATCATCACCATCCGCTCGAATATTAGCTCAGAAGTTTCATGTGAATACAAGGGACCCTGAACTGATGCACTAACATGGTGGCTAGTTACAGTCTAATAACCCATATCAACTTGCCAAATAAAGCTGTCACAAATCACTTGAGTGTTATATGTTTAATTTCTTATTCTGCATGGATCTAAGAAGATCAAAAAACACAATTCCTCGCAACATCTCTGATATTAGCATGAGCAGCGAGGCATGTTGACAGTCCATCATTAGGTCTGTCATGCTATCTGTTCTGAATGGAAATGCGGCTGCTAATATTATTCAGCGTCTGCTCAGGAAAATGAACTTTCATCGCATTGCGAGCATGCTTTAACAACCGCACAGAGAGCATGGCATGTAATTTTATTATAATCAGAAGTGTGCTCAAAAAACGTTGGCTAGATTGACAGTGTGGTTTAAGTGTAGTGTGCCGACTCTGGAAGCTGATACATCCTCCTCGTTGGAACAAAGTTATCTACTACAGCTCTCTGGTGCCTTCTCTGAAAAACTGGTTGAAATGGCTAGGAAAAAAAGTCTACTTTATTTCCAAGGAATAGCTGAATAGCTGTTAGCAGCTCTTATACATCTTTTATACTATTGTACTGTGCAAACGTCAGAGATCAGCCTTCATTTACTTAATTTCCAGACAGAACAGCCATTAAGTACAAGTCATTTATTTTTCAGCATCAGGAAGAAACTAGGAAACATATTTCATAGAAAATTACACAGAAACCTCAACAGCTTAATATGATATTTTTTAGTATTTAGCGTGTCCACATTTTATTAGATTTGTAATTATTTGTTTAATGTATAATTATATTTATTATGTATTTTATTTAGTATGCCTTTAGAACAACTTCCATTCTTTTTAGGAAACTTGCCTTCAGTTTTTCAAAGAAATCTGCAGAGATTTTTTCCACACCTCCAAAGTTCCGTCTTAGAAGTTGGTTGCATTTTTTGCATACTGCATTTTTGTCTACCAGGTCTTGCATAGTTTTGGGATTCCCAATTTCCATATATCTTTTAATATTTTTTAACTCCAGTTTTGGAAACTGTTTGTTTACTTTCCTTTGACTTCCCCCTTAGTTATGCAAATTGATTATCTTATATCTCAGAAAGTTCTCAAATGTATAACTTGTGCTTAATGGACATTTTTGCTGGAAATTAAATAAATGAAGGGTGGTCTCTGACTTTTGCCCAGTGCCGTTTTTATGTGAAAAATAGATGTAGGCCTTGTCTGTGTTCTGAATTAATTACTGAATGTAAAAGCTTCAAAAGTTAACTTGTTGCAAACATTCAAGAAGTGTAGGCTACTTAGTACTAGTCATGCATCCACACAGTCCAACAAGATGAGGAGATGACTAAGGTCGTAATGGCTGCCTAGTTGAACATAGCAAAATTGACAGTTTTATTGCATTCTTGGTTCAGTCTTCCCGGCTTTATATATAGGCCTCGTAGATAATTAACATAACCTGGTAGAAATCCAGTCACCTACCCTTTAGATACAGACATAGATCATTTCAAATGAAAGCAAGAGGTCTCAGTTGTATGGGCCTATTTTTGACATCTCCTCAGCTATTTACATTTAGCACTGCCAGCCATCAGCGCCATCAGCGAGCTCTTTACGCACAGAACCATTAAGTATTCTCAGACAGGGCTCATTTCCATAAAATATTCTTTGTCAAAACCTAAAAAGTGCAAATGAAACAGGCATTGAGGTATGATAGCAAAGCCCCGCAAGCTGCCGTAAATGACCTCAATTATGCACTTAGAGAGTAAGAAAGGTGCCTGGCAAAGTAGAACCTTTGAATGACAAGCCGTCGCAGGAGCCGTTTTTCTTTGGGTCCATCTCACCTTGATGAGCACTTTGAATTTGTAAATCAATGAGGGAGAGGGAGACAGAGGGAGTGGGAGAGGGAGAGAGAGAGAGCGTGTAAGTGCTGAGTGATAACCCAAGCTGCCGTGTTCAATGAGTGAATTGTTTGCCTGGGTCTCCATTACTGCTCTCTCTGGGAGCCTGGGCTGGGATTAATCTGTCAAAAGGAGATAGTTTAGCATTGATGAATATGACATGTGACCATTGATGATGTTGATTTTATCTCTCGAGATTAGCGAGATTTACTTGGGATGGGTAATAATGTCATTTGCTTGATGCAGTGGATCTGTTTACGAGCTGATTAAATCGCGAGGCTCCTGCTTCATTTCATGCTATTTAGTTTATGACTTCATTACTGCAAGCACAAAAGCTGTGGACATTTCCGCATCCCGTGTCACCATAAATCACTGCTTAAGATGCTGTGCATTTCAGCAGGACACCTTTTAGTGGAAGGAGGGGAAGGAAGGCCATCCTTAAAGGAGGCTTTACTTCTGCATGTGTTTTTTGTGAGCATGCAGATGGATATCACACTCAGGTTGACCTAATCAACTAACCTATTGAGCACTAGTGAGCCATCAAAAGTATCTTTCTCATGTGGAAGACTCTGATGATGAGCCTCCTTACTGGGGTGTAAAAGGGATTTGGTGTCGTTCTCTTAATCCCATAAATCAAGCTACTTTGCTGAATGAGGAACATAATGCTCTCTGACTTGTGTCTGGGAGTTCAGCACTTTAGTGCTGCTTACATATTGACACAGCTGTTGCTCTAACCATAGGCTTAGCAGACCATGGCACGTCTGTGTATTTTGTCACACACCTAGTAATTACATCTGTGTTGGTGGTAATTCTGGGCTATTAAATAAGGGAGCGGAGTGTGAATCAGTGGCGGAGTCGTCCAGGTCCAGGTGTCTTCTTGGGCTGAGCTCTCCATGATGTCAGGGTTTAGAGCAGAGTAGTGCCGTGTCAGCTGAGGCCTACACTGAGAGCCTGCTCAGGACCGCGAGGCCTTGCATTTCAGCATTTCAGCGTCCCAGGACAGGGCCTTGAGAGACATGCCTTTAATGTGGCCCATAAACCAGCTATTCATCTTCACCAGCTCAATTAGTTATTCTAACACTCCAGGCATGAGTCTGCCTCAATAGCCACATAGATGGGAAAACGCTCACCTCAAGATGACACTGTTCAGTTTCAAAGGAAATTAATGAGCACTAGGATTTTATGAGCGAGATAGGTGTTACACCATTGAGTCATAAAGTCTTGTTTGTGTTGTTTTTACCCGATGGCAGGTTTGGACAATGGTTCTCTTTCCGAAAGGCCCTTCTAAAACTAAAAACAGCTCTTGAGCCACTGCTGCTATTTGATGCGGTGCTAAACCTTGATCCCCAGTGCTCTCGTACCATCCCATGACCTCCAGTTTTTGTTCGCCAGAATATCCTCCTCAGAAACCCAGCCTCAACAGTCCTTCTCTGAGGCTGTTCCAGAGCTCAGTGGTACCCCCCTATGTGCCAAACAGCAGAGTGGACTGAGGCTCCTGTCTTTCTTTATCTCCCACATAAACATGCTTCGTGCAGAGCTGAGCAGTGTAAGTTGTGCTCTGGTACTGAGCCGTGTAACTCTGGGCTCCTCTTTATTCTCAGCAGGGTAATTTATGCACACATGTGCCTGTGAGCTGCTCTGATGACAGGCCCGGGAGGAGGGGCACATGATGAATGGCTTTCCATCGGGACCGCCACACAGCCACCATGATGTGGGGAAAAATGGAAATTGCTCTCTTTCACCGTCATTACATCAGTTTAAAGCTTGTGTGGGCCCCCAGAACATACTCTAGTTGCTCGGCCTGTTTTAGGAAAGTGTGTGTAGATTCTTATATTGTAACTTTATATTAATTTAACGATTAAAACTCTAAATTGTATTACTGTTTTTTGTATTACAGTCTGAAGTGTATGTAACAGTCTAATAATGTACGTTGTTCATAGTAAAAAATGCCATTAATAAAAAGTGTAAAGTAACGCAAGTGACTAAATGATTTTTGCTAAATCCCAGTCTGTTTTATTTCGGTGCAGTTTGAGAACAGACTGCAGAAAACCTCCAGACTCAACAGAGCGGGTTAGTTCAGGGCGGAAAGCGTTGATTTCTTTGAAAACATTCGTTTTACGCAGACACAAAATTACCCATCCATGATTATTAGTCCATAAAGTCTGACTAAATTCGTCGATTGTTTTTGGTGGTATTGCCTCAGTCTGAGATCACGTTCTTCCACTGCGGGAGACTTTTATTGTTGTATTTATATATTTAGATAAAAGTCTAAATTTCCATTTTCACAATAAGTAAAGATAAATGCGCTGAATTTTTGTCACTGCAGCATTTCTTGATTTTTTTTATGCACGATTATTGAGCAAATCCTCACAATTCACTGCGGTATAGATATTAAGGCTTTCAAGTACAGATTTTGTTACAAAAAAAATAAATGAAGTCGAGTTTTCTTTCAGGGAACGACAAACACATAAAATAAATCAAATCTCAGCTTTCAACAACGCATATTTTGTCATCTGATAAAAAAACACGTTATTTTTAGGCTTAAGGCGATACAGTGACCAGAGGAGTCAGTGTAATCTAATAATCAGCCCTAAAGGCAGGAAACGCCTTACTGGACTTCACTGTCAGATGGCTAAGAAAAAAAAACACACACACATCCACAAAATAAAGCTAAACAGAAAACTTTTAAAAGTCTTGACATATTAGCTGTACAATGTAACCTCCTCAATGGACAGCAGACTGCCCGCTAGCAAATACTCACAGCTATAATACTGCGGCTAATCCGCTCCACTGCCCACTCATTAGCTCCAAACGAAACAAATACAATCATAATAAAATATAATAGAGTGATTCACAGAAGTGAGGAAGTAGCTCGAGCTCTGTGTCTGTTAGTGGTCACTGTGGCAGCAGTTGTTGTCATTTTTAATCGATAGTAAATGAGCCTGCAGAGCGCAGCTACAGCAGCACATCACCTGTACACTCACACACATACAGGTATCCGGTGTTATTTCATTAAACCTTCATAAACAATTATTTATTCATTTGTAGAAATTATTTTGTCCCTAAACAGCACGCGCAGTGTGAGCTTTAACCCAAACAGGCCTTATTTGAGTGGAAAGTAAAGATGAACTGGCGACTCAAAGCTCTCTTTCAAAATGACGGGCTTTATATTACAAAATAAATGTTAAAAAGCTGAAATAATTCATTTTTAAGAATAAATGTGTAAACCAGCTGACTTTTTTGAGTAGTTTACAATATTAGCTTTTAAAAATAAATTTAGACTCATCAATAAAGTTTGTAAGGAAAAAAATGCTGTTCCACCCATTAGTCATACAGAACATCTGCGCATTTCATATTAAATATTAATTAAATATTTAGCTCAATTGTATATTCTAACAGTGCATTTTATGGGATTATTGGCAAGATTTTCTTCCCAAACCTTCATTTAAAAAAAATGCTCGCACATTTTTAAAGCAGCCCAAAGAGGCTCTCCACTGCTCACATTTAGTCAAAGGAAACTGAGGACGCAAATATGCAACAGAATTGTTTCTTATTTTCCCAGAATACATACAAAAAAATACCAATTCTCTCTCCATGGTATACACCTGAAAAATAACGGCCATTTAAAATTATGCGGACAATTTTGGGATTTAAAAAAAAAAGAAAAGAAAAAAAAAACAAAACAAAAAACAAACATGCATGTAAATTATTTCCTTTTCAATGTGACATTAAATAAGAACGTACAATACAATCATAGCAATTTCAAATCAACGTGGAAAACCGTAGAGCCCCTATTTGTTTATTAGTACTCTAACGCGGCTCTCTCACTTTCGCCTACTGACTTTAATGCACTTTTGAGTTGCTCTGATATTTTTCCTCTGCGTTATTGTCCGCTTTGAGCCGACAGAAATAAATACGGGAGAGGGGAGGAAGTCCACGGATCCAGTCCTTCAGTGGCGCGCTGCTATAAAAGTCTTTATATTTCAATCTTTATAATCTATAAATTTTTGGGGGGCAGGGGGTGGTGGGGGATAAAAAGAGTCCGTTTCACTGGTATCCAAGCGCTGATGCTGTGGTCAGTCTCTGGCCGTAGAGTGCATAGGGGGAGTAGTAGGGCCCGGTGGCGGCCGGCACGGGCACTGGGGCTCCGGCTGTGGGCAGTGGGCTTTTAGAGTACGGGTGGTAGCGGCTGCTCAGTCCCAGCGCGTGGTGCGGGCTCCTGAGCGCGAGCGTCCCGGGACTGCCCGGAGCCCCTGAGGCCGGCATGTGCATGTGGCAGGCCATGGCCGCGGCGGCGGCGGCGCTGGCGAGAGACGACGAGCTCGGGTAGCCGGACATGAGCTTATCGGCCCCGGTGAACGCCGTGTGCGTCCGCAGATGGCTCAGGAGCTCCTCGGACGAGGAGAAGCGCTTGTCGCACGGCCCGTTCGCCGACACCCAGTTGCAGGCGTGCGGCAGCGGGTCGTTGGGCAGCACGAAGCCATACGGGTATAGCGCGGCGTGGCCGCCGAACGACGGCGGCGTCGAGTGCACGGAGTGCAGCGGGTGCGCAGGGTACACGAGCGGGTATCCGGACTTGAGGGCGGAGTCGTGCGCGCAGGAGGCGCCCGCCGCTGCCGCCGCGCCCGCCAGGTGGCTCGCGCAGTGGTAGCTCAGGCAGTACGGGTCTCTGCACAGGCTCGCCGACATGATGGACGGCGGCGAGGCGCCGGCCAGTGGGCTCGAGCCGGCCTTGCTGCAGCCCAGTGACGTGGCGAGCTGCGCGTTCACGAGGCCTCCGCCGTGCGGCAGGAAGGGCTGAGGATAGCCGCCGTAGGCGCCTGCCAGGCCCCCCGGGTACGACATGCCCGCGGGCGGCAGCGGGAACACGGCCTGGCCCGGCTTGTACGGGGACACGGGCGCCACGAGTCCGGAGCTCAGCACGGAGGAGGCGGAGGTGGCGGACGGGACAGATGACGGCTCGGACGCGGCTGAAGCTGCGGCGGCGGCGGCCTTGCTCTCCTGCTGCTGGCTCACCTCCACGTTAATCCCCGCGCAGCTCACGCTTATCCGGCTGTGGCTGACGCCCGTGGCCCCCGAGCCGTCCGTGGCGCACGACTTGGTGCAGTCGCCGCCCTCCTTCTTCTCATCCCGCTCGCCCTTTCCGTCCGAGGGCATCGGCGAGGCCGACGTGCTGGAGTTGGGGCTGCCCGTTCCGGGCGTGAATGGCTGGCAGGTGGCGCTCGGCACGCGGAAACCAGACTTGTCCGCGCCCGCCGCGCCTGCCGCAGACTCCTTCTTGTCCGTCGGCTTGGAGTACGGCTTGAAGCTCGACTTGTCCTCCGCGCCGATGTCGCTCAGCTTTAGCGGGCCGGACTTCGCCTCCTTCTCGCCAGATCCGCCGGACGACGACGAGGAGAGCTTGGAGGAGGGCGGGGGGTCCGGCTTTCCGATTTGGGAGCATGTCTGCGCCAGCAGCGCCAGTGGACTTTTCTTGGCATCTAGCTGCGAGAACAGACACATAAACATACACACTTAAATATACAAATATGAATTATGCACGAACAAACAAGCACTGAGTTCATATGAAGCCGGTCAGTTTTTTTTTCCTGAGCTCTGTGTGAGTAAATAAAGTCTCGAGCTCGGCGCGAGACGGTAAACAAGCCACATCCAGAATCCAACCCGGGCTACTCACACACAACGCGAGCCGTTTTTAAAGTCCATGCAAACTCTTATTACAACAAATGCCTCACGAGCACTTTATTATTTGGCTTTCTCGTGCGCGCGCTTCATTTCCTTCAAGCCCCGCAGCATCGCTTTCACGAAAACACAGCCAGACCAGCGCGGAGCGGTTCTGTAAAGGCGGCTGAGAAATGGAAAATGTAGCGCGGCGCTCTTACCTCGATCGGGCTGACCGGAGTAGACGGTAAAGGCTGCAAGTACTCCGGGTGCAAAATGTGTCCCGTGCGCGCTGTGAGCATTTTGAGCACTTTGATAGGGAGTCGCTGCGCTTGCCGTAAAGGGTCCGACGGGGGGACGGAGTGGAAGAAAGGCTTGGTGCTGGTATTCCGACAGCCGCTGCTGTCCCACGCTAGAGCCGAGTCGCCGTTTCGGAGAGCAATAGCGGAGGGCGATGTGATCATGACCCGCTAGTCGCGCGCTCACTCCTCGGACTCATGAAAGCGGTGGGCTTCGCTCTGCTTCTCAGAAAAGAAATGAAACCAAAAATCAAACAAACAAACGATTTAAAAAACAAGACGCTCGGAAAGCGAAAGTCAGTGTGCGTTAATCCTCTGGCAGGAGGAAAGGCGCGAGCTCTCCGCCGATCCCGGAGCTGCTGCGTCTCTCTCCCACCACACGCGTCGCGCGCGCTCTCTCGCTGCTCTGCCGCACGTCCGCGCGCTGCTCCTCCCAAGCCGGGAACTGGGAGAAATTTTCACTTCAAAAGCGGCTGAATTAGTGCGAGATTAAAGCCTTTGCCGCCTTCCAATCAAATGGGAGCCCGAGGTGATTGGAGGGTCAAGGGGATGTGACGTGCTCCTCTCGCGCAGCAGCGCCTCTGTGTTTTTTCTCTTTTTTTTCTGCCAGCGCGGGGGAGGAGACCGAGCTGAATGCGCTGCTTCTCGCGCACGCCGCGGTGTCTTCTGGGCAAGTTGAGTTTACAGCCTTGTCCTCACAGTCCAGTTTAAAGCGGGTCACACTGGAATAGTAAAACAGCTTTCTCTGCACTGTGAGAAATAAAGACACCATGCAGATACATTTTTTAATTCATCAAGGTATAAACAATGTAAATGTCCCCTAAAAGGTACAGCAGTGCTTTTAAGGTCCAACTGCGTCCTTTACTTAAGTTTGTCCCAAGAGAAAGTTCCCCAATGTGACCTCATGTTTTAAAACGGAACAATAAAATGACTGGAGACGAGACTGGATATGTGGAGTCAATACATCTTAAAATATATGTAATTTCAATGAAATACTGCACAATTATGTTCCCTAACTGAAGGTACTAAAGACGTACCCTTAAGGGTACCGCCCCAAACAAGAGGGGCACTTCCCCAGTGATAGTTTTAGACCTTTTTTCTGAGACTGTGTGTCTTATTTCTGTTTGTTATGCTTCAACTGACAGAAGATCGACTCAAACGTAGGAGGGTTTCAAGTACTTAACATACTATTAATCTAATAATATTAACCCCAGGAACATAATGGAATATAACGCGTTTCTGTTTACTGATCGTCTGTACTGGATAGGCTATCGTTGTCAGTAATAATGTACGTAAAATAAATGAAAGTCTTGTAAATGTGGTGCCTGCTTGCCTCCTGCCTCCATGTTTTTCCAATGTCGCCCCCCTGCTCTGGATTCGGCAAGAATCTGCAGGAGCAACCAGAAGATCAACCGCGTGCTGTTTGAATCCCCCAATCAGGCAGGCGTTGACAGGAGCAGACCAATGCAGTGATAGAGGGATGTGAGGGCCTCGTGTTTTCAGTATAATGTACACCGCCCTCCCATTCCCATCCCCACCCCTCCGTCAGCTGTCAATTCTGCTCCACCGCGATCAATCAGCTATTTGTCAGAGGCTGTCAATCCTCCTGTTGATTTATGTCAGCTCTCGTAGCTGATTACAGGCCGCGGGTGACTGAGGAAAGGGCACATGGGGAAGAAGCACCTTGGTATGGAGGCACTTCATATGAGGGCCGCTGTGCTGCTTTATTCACTCGGGAAGGTGCTGATGTAGGACGGCCACATGTGGAAACCTGCTCACACTCACTCCGTGTCGGACTGTAGTAAGTACAGGAAGGTACAGTTTAAGGCTTTTATTTGCACGTCATTTTTTTTTAAAAGATCTAGATAATGCAGTAATACTCTAGGTAAATATGAAGGCTACTGTTTTATTAAATCACTGGAGAAAAAATTAATGCTTTGAATGAAGCAAATCTAGGTGTTTAACAAAGCCCTAAATGCGAAATGTTGAAATTACTGGAAAAAAAATTGATTTCAAATGAGCTACTTTGATTTTTGGATTTTTTTCCAGGTAATGTGCTTTTTGTATTTTATTATTATTATTATTATTTATTTTGTGCAAATGTTGAAAGTACTTGTGTTTAATATCATTATACATTGTAATGTACAGTATTTTTAGGTACTCTGTGTTTTTTTTTTGTTGTTGTTGTTTACAGGTTTCATTTACATCATTTTGTATTGTGTGTTGATGTTTACAGAATAAACTTTGCCGACTCTCTGGGTTTGTCTTGAGTCAGTGTTGAACAGTGCAGGGCCTGTAAGGCCAAACTCCACACAGGTGCACACCATCTCTGCACTCTTACTCTTAATGACTGCATTTTCATTCCTTCCACTGAATTCGCGCGCTGACACGCACAAGCTCATCTGAAAGGGAATTTGCAGACATGCACATCCCGCCCAGGCGCCGCTTTATCACCACACGGGAGAGCAGAAAGTTTAAGAAAAAAAGTTGCAGGCATGTTTTCATTCAGAAATGTATTCTGCATTAAACAAACCGATGGTGGAAGAGGAACGGAGCGAGTGAAGGCGAGAGACCCGGTGTGTGTGAGAGGTTCCTGGTTAAGCAGTGTAAAGAGGCTAATCTACGGCGAGGCTGCAGCTTTTCACAGCGCCCTGCCTTTCATCTCGCGCTGGATGGAGGCGCTCAATTAAAAGCCTATCGGTTTGGAAGTAAATCAACGCCTATCAAAGTTGTCACATCAAACAAAACGATTATTATTGCAGCCCGCCTCCGCCATTAATCTCCTTCTGCGCTAATCCGCCTGACAGGTCATCGAGGAGAGCAAGAAAACCTGGAGTGGACAGTCAGGGGGCAAGTGTTTAGCCGAAGTCTTTACTGTTTCAAAATATGATCAAACCCCTTTAGGCTGTGAAGGACGGTGACCTCCCGGTACCAGCGCTCCTCTCTCGGCTTCAGGACGGTGTTGTGGTGGCTGAACCGTGTACATAAAACATTTAGTGCTGAACTCATTTATTACATTAGTTACTTTTTATTTTTGCTGTTTTTTTGTGTCTTACAACTAAACTGATAACCTACAAAATGAATACTAATCTCACATATTTTTAGAACTGTAAATATTCACTAATATAAATTATGACAAACACTAAACAGGCATAATTCTAAAAATACAAGAAACCATAAATGATTAAAAAAATAAATTCCGTCATTGGGAATGTCTATATTATTCAGAGTGTTAGGCCTCTTATTTTCACGCTTATGTTGTTTGCGGTACAAATGTGTAAAAAGGATTCTGCAACAGAAGCAAAGCTGCGAACACGATCACTGATCCAACCCCAAATGTAATTTCTTAAATTGCTTTTCATCCTCGTCTTTTTAAAGTCAGTTAAAAAAAAAGAATATATGTTTACACACTTTATTTTTGAGTTTTAAAACAACTGCTTCAACCTCTCACGTAGCCCAGAAATAAGATACCGTTTCAAAGGAATTCATTTAAGAGGTAGGTACATATTGTCCCTCCTCTGTCGGCCGTTTAAAGTGGAGCCGAGCAGAAAGCTGCAGCTCCGTATGCAAAGCTGCGTGATGGATAACAGGGTGGCTGTTTTGTGCGGGGCCTGTCACTGCGTGACACACTGCGTGAGTTATTAGGGCACAGAAGGGCAACCATAAATTTCCAGCGTCAGGCCAAAACTCTCTTTATTGTCTGCATGACGAATGGGCTTCTGAAGCAGACACCAAATACTCGGCATTACCCTTAAATGGGAGCACATTTTTCAAGGCCATAATTCACGATATTTAAATAGAAAGTTTTACATGGTTCCGTATATTTCATATCAATGACATGTTTATGAATCACTCCCTCCATCTAAACAGAATTATTTGCAGCGCCGAGCTCCCCACACGTGGACTTCACTGCACGAGAAATAAAGCAGAGGCTCGTTTTTCACCTCCACATATTTTTCAGGCTGCACAGAGGAATTAAAACTGGAAAAAATACAGCATGAGGAGATTACACGATCAATATTATATTAATGAATAAGGCTGATCAGGAGCGGTGAGTTAACAGAGTTAAGTTAATAAATGGCAACGAAAACTAGTCTATGTTCCAAGTAGCACTTTAAAGGGAAATGTAACCCCTTTAATCCACACAAATAAAGAGCTGTTAATTCTATTAACTTACTGAAGTCTCTTAAAAGGCAAACGGGTCATTCTCTGTGCCGAGTTTAGTTAGTTGTGGCTTTACAGTGACTCCTTTTCTCCTTTTTAGGATGGAGAACACAAGGCAAAACAAAGTCTTGAGTCTTCATTTACAGCAACACTGAGTAGCGCAAAGTACCAGCACTGTTTCTCATCATCAGATCCGGCGAAGAGAGCGCGGCGACCCGCCGTACCTGCTACTACACAGAGCGAACAAACAGAAGCTTTTTAATCATCGTCCTTTTGTTTTTTTTGCTTCAGTGCCACCATATTTTATTCAAAAACCTGCCGCTCCAGCGCCGTCCTGCACGTTTATCAGTGAGTAGACTAAGCAGTGAGCTTTTACTGCTGTTTGCCTTCGCAGCGCCTCTCCTGTCTGCCTGCCGCTCCAACTTCCGCTTATGGGCGGGTCCGCGTGACGCAGCGCGTGACGAGTTGCCTGCTGGGGCGCACACAATAACAACAGACTGTTTAAACTTCATTTCAGCTCAGAATCAACAAAATCAGCTTCAACACTAAACACAATTAATTAGGCAAATGTATAAACACTCAAACCTCTTGTTTGGAGCTTGTTTGTCACTTTTAAGTGTATTACCTGGGCTATTATCAAGCTGTGGTTGTTATTGGAGGAAATTAAGTCTTGTACGACCAAATTAAACCTTCCGTTGTCACTGGCGGAAATTAGTTCTTGTGTGACTTGTTTGGAAAAAAGAAAACTATTAGCATTGTTACGAATCCCACTCGGACTGAAGTCCATAGAGTTATTACTATGCTGTTAATATTGCGTATGGAAACAGTCTGGTACACCAGAAACTTTCAGTCTGAGATGAACTTTTGTTGGGATTTCCCCATAGGCTTGGAAAAGCTGTAAACTACAGCAGCCAACACCAGCTAAAGTTATCCCCTGTATATTTCATCTTGAGATTAAACTGAACCAAGTAAGCAAATTAACTGGACAAAATATACACTCAAATCTGTGAGTTGAGTACTGTGAGTTTAAAAGGCCCATTTTAATTTATTTATGTTTTCTTAAGTCCACTTGGGTTTTATGTAGGCCTACCAAAAACAGTTGTAAATCATTTTTCATGACCATTTCCAACCTCACTTTATCTTTCAGAATTTAAAAGGCTATTTTTGTTACTGTGCCTGTAAGATGGTTATATGTGAATGATCTTTGTTCAGATTGGCGGCCCCGTTCGCGTCTCATTCAAAAAGCAGTCAGTACGATCTGAAACGATTTTTAAGCTTCAGCGTGAATGGGTGGGGCTAAACACCTGTAGGCTGAATTGGTGGGTATATGTAAATTAGTTGTTTTTTCATTACGTTCAAACAGTTTACATATACGGAATTTATGGATTTCGGAGTTAAACGTACATTATGATACTTTAGCGTTTTATATACTACATCATATATTCTACATTTATACTACATGTATATATGAAACTCTATATCATATATACTACATTTAGATGCTAAACTCCTCTGTTTAAAAATGTAGGTCTTACATAAAGAAGGGAGCTAATATATTAGTGTAGCTGATATAAAATTGAGGCTTATTAAGGGGGGAATTAGCACTGCTGTAAACTCCTCTCAGACTGAGGTAGTGGTTACTGTAACACAGTCATGAAACAGTCGGTTACACCACCAACTTTCTAAATCGTAACCGTTTTGTTATGGCTCTCCACAGCCTTAGCAAAGCTAACCAGCCATAACCTGCAGGATCTGAACTTCCCAGCAACTTCCCAGCCTTTCAGCTGTTTTAGAGATACTTTGCTAGGCAGCATTAAATGGTAATGTTTGGGCTGCTGCGACCCTCTGTAATGAAATCTCACCCCTTACAGTCGCCTGTGGACAGAAGAGTCAGAACAGCAGCGGTTCTTGTGTAAGCGCTCCAGGAAAGCGTGATAACCCTCTCATGCACGCGGGCTTCCTTCTCTGATCAGCTGACTCGAGCATGCGGAAGAAGGCAATTAGAAACGTTAGTAGTTGAGAAAACCGAGATTAAAAAGTTAGATGCAAAACGTCCAAAGAAGAGCTTCCAGCAGCGCAAAGAGGGAAAGTTAAGTATTCTCGTCTGTCCGCTTCTGATAGGCTGTTTTACGCTCTCTGACCTGTCAGCGGTCTGGAATGGCACACAGTGAGTCAGAGGCTGCAGTGAATGTAGTGAATGGGAATCAGGTAAGTGCTGAAATGTTCAGTGTTGTGTCATTGACTGCTTCACACTGATGTGTTCACCGCACACGTTACCGGACAGCACGTCTCACTTTGGGTTTTTACCGTGTTTACACTTTGCAGTGGAAGAAAAAAGTAGGTTAATAACTTGTCATGTGACAAGTGGGCGAGTTTTGAGCACAGCAGGCTGTCTCCCATACACACTTAAAGAGGATGGTTCTTCAAGGGTTCTTTAGTAAAGATAGTGGTTTTGTATAGAACCATGAACACTCAAAGGACCATCAAGTTTGCTTGATGAGTTCTCTACATGGTAAAATGGTTCTTCAGATTGATGGAGAATGTGTTGTATATGGTTCTATAATAGAACCTTTTTGAAAAGAGTTTTTATATAGTTTTATCTGTTGTTACAATGTCAAGCTTGTAACAACAGCAGAACCCTTTGTGGTGCTGTATAGAACCATATACAACACATTCTCCAATCTGAAGGCAAATACCATTTAAGCATGAACTGGTTTTATGTAGATTTCATTGTTCTAAATAGAACCATTGCCTTTACGAAATAACCTTTGACAAACCATTTTTTAAGCGTGTAGGACAAATTCAGATTAGTTGGCAGCACATAGAACAGCAGTACACCTTTATCTTTAAGAGTGTACTGCTATTAAATGATTCTTAGCTCAGACGTAGGGTTCTATGATCTTTCATTGTTATAGAGCCTTTATATTATGTAGAGGTGCTTTAAACTTACAAAGGTTTTTCTCACTGACATCTTATTTACAAATCAACTGAAAGGTTCTTAAGGGTAACAGAAGTAGTTCTTCTATGGCAGCGGTTCCCAAATCGCAGTCCTGGCAACTCCATGCTCTGCACATTTTGTGTTTTCTCTGCTCTACACACCTGACCCAGCCCACGAGGCGTTTGTTAATGTGTTAATAAGTTGAATCAGGTGTGCTAGGTGAAGGAAAGCACAAAGATATGAAAAGTTGGAGATCACCAGGTCTGGGATTAGGAAACTCTGTTCTATGACATGCACTCAAAATGGTGGATTTACTTAAAAATGTTATGTTAAGTGGTTCCACACAACCGTGTTAAATAGCTTTTAAGATGCACAGTTGACTTATATATACTAATACAGGGGTGTCCAGTCTTATCCGCAAAGGGCCAGTATGGCTACAGGTTTTCACTCCAAACATACTGGAGCACATCTGATTCTACTCATTTAATCAGTTGATCTTAGTCTTCAAACATTTCATCAGGTGACCTGCTTTATTGGAGTGAAAACCTGCAGCCACACCGGCCCTCTGTGGATAAGATTGGACACTCCTGTACTAACAGAACAGCATAAAGTTACCAGGTCTGAGTTAGATCTACATAAGTACATTAAGTTAGTACTGTGCTAGTGAGCTGTCATAGAACTGTGCTCAGTAGTAGGTTACCTGATAATTCGCTCTTACAGCCACCAACATGGCCCGACGGTTGACAGTATTGTGGCATCAGCAATGAAAAAGAGCCAGAGGAAACCATTAATTCTGCTCAAGGAAATGCTCTTTTGTTGAACAAAAGGCCACTGAAAACAGTGAGAATAGCAGGGAAGGTTACTTCTATCCATAGCACTTCGCTCTATGGTAGACACGTAACCCACCCTTACTAATCCATAGCCCAACGTAATAAAACACAGTCTTCACCTAAACGCATCTTAAACTAACAAACGACAACAACAACAAGTGTCCTTTTAATGAAGGGGGGAGGTGCACGCAGGGCAGCTTTGCATATCACACCCCTAAAGCCCCTTCTGAAATACTGAGCAAGTGGCAGATGCCACAGCAAAGTATAAGAAAGATGTACACAAAGTGGAATGTAGGCCAGACACAAAGATAAAACAAAGATGATGAATAAAGCAAGTAAAACAATATGCAAATAAATGATGGGAAAGGTATGTTTTACTCTACAAGGGTACATTGACCAAACAAATGCTTATGAAGTAAATGACAACTCACTGAATTTCAGAGAAACAACACAACTGACTCACTTGTTAAATGGTATCAATGAGAGAAAACTGACTAAAGCCAACAACAGAGTCATCTAATTTTTTGAGGGTGACTCTAAGGAACTCTTTTTGGTACATTTTTTAAGATCTATAGTAACATTGTTTCATTTAAAACTTGCCATAGATGTAAAGAACTTGTCAGAGGTGTAAAGGTACTGCTTTATCTGCAGGTGAGCTGTTGCAGGCAAAATATTATCGCTGTCAGGATGAAACCTTGTATCTCCATTTTTTTGTAATTTTTACTTTTTTTGCATAATTTGAAAACACAAACTGCCCTTCAGATTGTGTGAACATTTCATGATGAACCAAACAATAGAAATAGTTAAAAAATAAACTTCCTTCTCTTGTTAAGTTATCATTTTGGAGATTGTTCTGACAGCGACAATATGGGTTGCATGTTCAAAGTGACTTTTTGTTAATTGTGTAGTAGAAGTACCCACCTTTTCACAGGCTATGCATGGAGAAATGAGTCTCTCTCTGTCTCTCTCCCTCTTTCTCTTTGCTTTTTTTCTGAATGTAAAGGTGTCCTATATTGGACATGACTGTGAGGCCATTCCAGAGTTCCTCGCAGTTAAATATGGAAGCATTGCAAGGCGACTAGATCTCAGCTTCAACCGACTGAGGTAAGATGTCAGTAATACAGACACACCAAACACCTAATGATGAATACATGCATCAAAGAGGACCAAGGCTGGAGAGTAAGATAGTTCTGCACAGTAATAGTCTGAAATGATTTGTTTTGATATGAAAAGGTCAAAAAGTGGAGAGAAACACAGCGCTGTCATGACATGTACATGACTTGTCCAGGCGCTTGGATGCTGCTTGTACTGCACTTTGAAGGCATGTTTGAGTGTTTCTATGAACATACAGAGGGTCCTTGACGTTGATCTCTGTTTGGCACATGTGGTTTCAAAGTTCTATGTAATACACCCCTTTTTTCCCTCCATTTCTGTTTTGTTGTTGCTCTGCGATTACACCATCCTGTGGTGAGCGCTTTGGACATACACTTTTGTTGCATTAGTATCTTTTGAAATTCTTGTCACAACAAATACATGTCTGTGTAATCTCACAACATGCCATGGGATGGTAGCTGTGACATCCACCCTGTTTGTTCAGGTTACCTAGATTCATTATTTTATGAAGGAGCACATCTTGTAAGAAACAGAATAACTGTTAAAAAACTTGCAGATCAATGATCTAAACAGAAAAACTTCACTGCTGACTGAAGTTTCTTACCGTCTGAGGGAACATTTAAGAAGATTTAACTAAATGACAGCAGCGTCACATGATATGAAACATTTGACTCGATGTACCTGCCGCGCATGCAGACACATTTTTGCATTAAGTGCAATTTAATATCCGCATCATGTGCATTACGCGGTTTGGAATGTCATCAAGACATCAAAGGGCCCGGGCCTTGAAGAGGCATGCTGTGGCTGTATGAAAGGTCTGATCAATAAATGTGACATGTTAATGCCGAGCAAATAGAATAAAAGATTCCTTTGACAGGACATGAAGAAGCACCTTGTGGCAGCTGGGGAGGGGGGGGGTGCCATTTCACCAGCAGGACTAGCAAAGTTGATCTGACAACTAAAAGAGAAGAGATGATGGTTATAAGGTGCTTTTGTTTCAGACTTCTTTTCTTGACCTGTCAGGCCTTGAAGGACTCTGAATGGGCCTCTCTTTGTCATGTGAAAATTGTCGTCTTGAGGCAGTTATCTGTGCTGAAAATGTGGATTCTTTCGTTTAATTGATTCGCCTTGCGCTCGAGACTGTCAGATTAATAATTGCTAAATCCTGTGCTGCTTCAGTGTGTCGTGCAAAAATGTGCGCTTATCAGTGCATTAATATTCCTAATGAGCCTGCGCGAGTGGCTTACCAGCACTGGGTGCCTAAAACCCAGTTTACTTTTTCAGGATACTAGAGGCGTGCATTTTCAGGCATAAATCGGAAGCACTTTGTATACTGTGTATTGGGCACAGTGTGTGCTCACAGTAGTCCTCTTCATTAGCTAGATGAATAGCCAGTGATGATATTATGCTGATTTATACAAGATGTGGAAGGAGCCAAGACAAAGAAATATGAGTTTGTGAGAAAATGCTTAATTTGAATTTGTTTCTGGTGGAAACTCATGTCTTAATTTAATGCCATTTAATGGGACATTTAATGCTGTTCTATCTTACTGTTTTAAAAGCATTGCTTTTTTGCTGAGGGTTGTCTGCTCAGGAGTGTTACTGTTTATAGCTAATAGAGATTCCCTTGCAACTGCACTTTTCAAGCATATCTGCTCCCAACATTCAGAACCCAGGAGGAGAAAATAGAGTTACATAAAGTGTTTCAGTTCATGTACTCTCTTCTATTGTGGAACAGATAAGACAGGTACAAATGACATGGGAGTCAAAGCTTGCAAATTAGCCAGCACACATCTTATCTGATGAAGTCTGCAATGCTAAGTGCTCCATTACGTCATATGGTAATTGACACACTTGAATGTGACATGCAGAATTGTGCAAAACCCAGAAACTGCCTTTTCTTTTATTTAATTTCCTCTCAAAATGGCCATTAAGTACAAGTTATCTGTTTCTCAGCATCAGAAAAAAAAATCAGAAAAACCGATATTGAACAGAGAAGCACACAGAGGCCTAAGATAAGATAAATATAATGTCTTTTTTTGTTTCATATATGTGTCCACTCTTTGCCTTTATTACAGCTTCCATTCTTTCTGGGAGACTTGCTTTCAGGTTTTCAAAGCAATTTACAGAGACAATTTCCACACTTCCAAAGTCTTAAAAAAACATTGGTTGCATTTTGTTATGGTCCAATTAACCCTAAACACATTCAGTAATGTTGAGGTCTGGGCTCTGGGGTGGCCAGTCAATTGTTCTGAGAACACCAGCAGCTTCTTTGCTGATAAGTGCATTTTGATCTTCTCAGTGTGCTTGTGGTCGTCGTCATGCTGTAGAATGACTTTTTTCCCCATCAAACGTTTCCAGAGAGTATTACATGACATACTTATCAGCATTTAATCAAAAACAAATCACGAAGCCCAGATGTTTTTCTAAAGCCCTAAACTTGCACTGATCTTCCTCTGATGTTTGACTGATGGTTGTAGTTATGGTTCGAGTAGTCTTTTGTTGCTTCGGCGGTGTGCATACTGCCTTCTGTTACTTCCAAAGATCTCAATTTTACACTCATCAGTTCATAAAACCTCACAACCAAAAAACACCATATCTCAGATGTCCAGTTTCAGTGGTCTAGTGCAGATTCTCTTCCTTTTTCTCTATTTTGTCTTCTCAGTAACAGCTTCTTGACACCTACACATCCTTTCATGTGTAATATCTAATGACCAACCTGCTCAAAAAGATCCTTTTTTAGCGATTTGTAAGAAAATTGCAAGGCAGCTGAGGTGTGTTGAGGTAGTTGTTATATGAAATAGTGTCTCTTTGAAGGAGAACGTAATGTCAGTGCCTCCTTTGGGATCAACCTTTGTTAGGAGAGCACTGCTTTAAGCTGTTAGTTTTTAAATTGGCAGGACTGAAGAGTTAAAGTGTCAGTAGGATGCACAAAAGTAAAGAGTGGACAAATTAAATATGAATAGATTTAATGTTATACTTGGTGTTAAAAGCTTTTGTGTATCTTTCTGTTAAACATATCTATGCTTTTTTTCCTTGCATTGAGATATTAACAACTTACATTTAATGGCCATTCGACTAGAAATTAAATTAATGAAATGGTCTCTAAATATTGCACTTTTTTATTAAGCATGTTGTAACACATAACAATATTAGCTAAATTGTTTTCATTTTTTTGAGACCCCAAATCTAAAAGCACATTTAGTGGTTTCTTTGGGGGCTGGGGCTTTTGGTCAGCATGAAAATGTGACTTGTAATAAGGCAAGCATGTGATCAGAATCAGGGAATGCGGTGCCCAAGCATTCACTGACTGCCTCCTCCCTAAGTGCAGACAAAAGCCTCATAGTGAAAGTGTAATAGATGGACATCCTGCTCTCAAGCATGAATTCACTATTATGAGAAAAACATAAAGAAGTGGTTAGGTTTAGGGCCAAGACATGTTAATGTGGGTTTTTTTGGAAACTCTGTCTGTGTCTGGGCTGTTCAAAATTTTTTTTTCTTAGTGCTCTGCTTCCAGAGAACGTGTTGAGAGGAAGTAACCCTTTGAGTGAGGTCTCGGGGTTTTCTGTAAATGAACTCTGGAAATGGAAATCAGACAGAGAATGAGCAGAGACAGGGCTTGAGGTGATGAGAGTGTGTTCTTCACTGTTTGTGTGCTTCCTGACGAGAGCGGTGTCAGGGAGCATGCATGTTAGCATGCATGCGGACTCACATTCAGTTTATCAGACCTTTTCACATGGTGCTGTTTATCAGGGGTTAACATTAAATCACAGTGATGGCGAAGCAGCACCTGTCCAAGGCCAGCGCGCGGAGAGGTAGCAGATGATTGGCTCCAGAGGTAATCCCAGAATGGGTTTCAGGAGCAACCTGTCATATACGTGCAGTCTAGCCATGAACTGTTGTCAGAGTGTCCCGTCCCTTTGTGGACATGCATGACACTGCAGGTTATTGGGTGCTGAAGACAAAGGAGATCTTATTGTCTTGTCTAGTCTTCTCCAGATGAGCTGCAAACAGGATGCACCTCAGTCATCCTGAGGTATGAGGTAGCCATGATCTCCGTTCACTAGTGTCACTTCATGTCATAGGAGCTCGACAGCCACTCTGTCATCAGAACTGGCTTATATTACCTGCTCAGATATGAGCCATGACCAACAGTCAGGTTGGGGGATCATCTATGCCTGGGAGGTTCTCACCACAGCATTTTGTTTCTGTGGTTGCCTTTTTGAAAAGGCAAAGATTAGTTGTGGTATTTGGTGTGTATGTATGTATATTTTAAGGCTAATATTTGGGAGCTTTGATTGCCCGGCTTGTATTACGAAATATGCAGTGTTCTTTAAGGCAAATTGGACCTTCTGGTGTGAATAAAATATATGCATTTTCATTTGTAGCTGTTGATTTATTTTGTATTAGCATTTAGCATTGCAGTCTTAACAATATTAATCAATATTATATTATAATATTAATCTGTTAAACACCTTAGAACCTCCAATTATTCAAGACTCACATTCCTCAATCCTATAACATAATAATAACCCTTATGCAAATGCCAGTTTGCCTTGTTTTCCATGTAATTACTGAATAACAGTGAGGAACCCTCAGGGCCTTCTAGGCCTTATGATTTCTGTAAAATAAACATCTTCAAATTTTTAGTCCATTTTTACTTAATATACTCATCTCTCGTTGTAGTTAAACTGTGCAACTCTTGTGGCAATAGTCTTACTTCATTGTCAAGTTTTTATTGGAAATGAGTTGATCTACATAGACACAGCCAAGTGAACTCTCCCATTGGTTATGCCTTTAGGAGCTGGACTAACATGTCAGAATAACCACTAATTTGATAAGAAACTAACAGTAGAATCAGCCAATATTGTTTTGGTGTCTAATGGGTGGGATAAATTCCATGAAAAAAACATCACTCTAGCCTTCTGGAAGTCCTAGATATATCAGTGACTGTGAATATTAGCCATAGTATAAGCAAGTTTCAGTCAGTT